ATATCAAGAGTAATGTAGTGCTCCTACCTTCCCTAGGTGGGAAGGGACACTCCTCAATCTAGTTCGCTCGGTGCTAAGCTAGAGTCCCTTTTTGAAATGTCTTTAAGCCTTTAATTATTAATCATAGCTTAGTTTAGGTCATAGGTTCTACCCCTTGTATAATCATCATCGTCAATATCTCAATAAGAATTGTATGAGTATAAGTCCTTTCATCACAATTCATATAAGTGAGGTTAAGACATTAGCATTTCATAGCATATCTAGGCATATTGATAGTTTTCACCATCCTTATATCATATACACCTTAATCAACCTCACAACATAGTCAAGACATTTCAATTCAACATCATACCACCCTATAATCCTAGTATAAGTCATACTCCAATGTAATATCATGACTTAACCACAATTAATCACAATTGGAAGTAAAGATAGAGATTCTAAGACTTACCAAGTCTTCCTCATAGTTCATCACCCAGGTCTTACCATCAACCCATAACTCAACCGAATTAGGGAAGTAATATCATCACACAATGATAACTAATAAGATAACAAGGCCAATTGCATCTCTATAACACAATTCAACACTAGATCATAGATTAAGACAAGATACATAGGCTAATTTCACAATATACTTCATATCCTAAATCACATCTCAAGGAACTAGCATGAAAGGACTATAATTCATCTTAATTTATTCATAATAACACCATAGGATAGTTATCTAATCAATAACCAAGACAATTAAATGATCACAATACAGTATAGATCAAGATCACACCCTAGGGTTAGGGATTGAGGATCATGTTCTTCAATTTAGACCAAACCATCAACAATTACCATAATAAAGTTAAATTCATGTTAATCTATTTAATATAACCTAATGAAATCATCAACATCTCAATCCATAACTTCAATTTCGTAATTGGATGAAACCCATAAGAAACTCAACTTTTGAAATCCATTTTGAAGGAATCCTTTGAGGAAAGAGTCTCAAAGGTGAACTAGAAGATTGTGGATTCGTCCCTTTCAAGCCCCCAAACCCTTATCCTTTCTATTCTTCAATGGTGAGTTCAAGTAAAGAGAGAAAGAAGAGAGAAGGAAGAGAGTTTATTTTGTGAGTTATAATTGGGTTAATTGGGGTTGGGGCCTTTATATAGGAGCTAAAGTTAGTTAATTAGTCTCCCCTTAATCCTTAACTTTCCCCTAAATCACTTAATAAATTAAATGACTTAAACACTAAAACGTGCAGGAAAATCGCCCTCTCACAGATGGAACCCCACCGACGGGCCGTCTGTGAGTCTACGGACCTACACCCCCACCACCACCACCACCACCACCATCATTTGGCACTCCATCGATGAGTTCAGGGATTGTGCAGATGAGGATCTTCCATGAATTGTCTAAGTGTGGGATGACGGTGGCATTGGCCCCGCGTCAATCCACACACGGACCGTAGCCTGCACTTCCGTTGGTAAGTTCAAAGGTTGTTCGGGTGAGGGGCTTTTACCAACCAGCCTAAGTATGGGACAACGGTGGCATCGACGCCCCGTTGGTCCACATACGGGGCCGTTCACTGCCTCATCGATGCACACTGCTTCAGGCAGTGTTGCCTCAACCTGCAGGGGTCCTCGTCAAGGGCCCTTAGTCGGTCCTTGGGGAGTCGTACTCGGATGTTTCGACCATGGAACAACTTAAACACCAATTACCTACCTTTTTACCAATTTCCATACATTTCTGACTCCTAAATGTTAGTCAAATAGGCTAAGGCACACTAGTACCCTTTTGAACCATACCTCCGGACGTCATGGACGTTATTGGACGTTTTGGTTCTTAAACTTCCTAAATGACCTGAATTCATTAAAATGGACTTAAAAACAGTACTTAGACCCCATGGTACCTATGTTAGGCTTTATGACACGTCTTGAATTTTCAAGGTTTTACAAGACCCTGGAGATATTAGGCAAGAGTATGAACGTGAAAGGCATCAAATTTAGAAATATTCAGGACTTCACCCTTGAGGAGACCGACAACATCCACAAAGAGTTGGAGGGACGCCAGCATGTCGAGTTCGAGATGAAAGAGGCTATCACTTCCTTGGAATGTCGGCTCATGGAGGCATTGAGCACGATTGAGACCATGAAGGCCGAGATGAAAACACTCAAGAAAGGCATGGAAGTTGAAGGATTGTCATCACTTGACCGAGATAGGGAAGCCAAGGTCGAGGCTCCCAAGCCACCTATGTTCAAAGGTGTCTGTGACGCGCAAGAGTTGGAGAATTTTCTATGGCACTTAGAGAATTACTTTAAGTGTAACCGAGTGAAGAGCGACAGAAACAAGATCAACACCGATGTGTTGTATCTTTCAGAGATGGTCATGATGTGGTGGAGGAATAAAGAGGAAGAAATAGGTCAGGGGCTTTGCACCATTTACACTTAAGAGTAATTCCAAGCGGATTTCAAGAAGGCATTCATCCCTAACAACGTCATTTATGAGGCGAAGCGCAAGTTTAGGGAGTTGAAACAAACAGGCAGCATACGCGCATACGTGAAAAAGTTTACCACCCTCACGCTTCAGATTCTAAACCTCACAGATGATGATATGTTGTTCCACTTTATGGATGGGACAAAAAATTGGGCCAGGACAGAGTTGAAAAACACCAAAAATTTAGGATTATCGATGAAGACATCACACAAGCCGAAACTTTGACAAACTTTAAGGATTAAAGGCCCGACAGAGTCGAAGAAGAGGTAGTCAAGACCATGGTGGGGGAGACCGTGGCAAACTTAAAGTGCAGCAACCATATCTCAAGAATCATGATACCAATATGTTTGAAAGCATGGAGTTTAAATGTCATGGAAATGCGTAGATAAAGACGAAGCATACAAAAAGGAAGGGTTGCTACATATGCGTGGCCGCATGGCTACGCGAGGTGCCCTGCACTGAAGAGCCTTGGTGCTATCCTACGAGAACGGAAGGAGAAGGATGCATATGAGCAAGGAGAAGGCGTAGAGATAATGTAGTTGGGCTTGATAGGACTATGTAGAGCCATAAACAAGAAACCAAGGAAGCCAAAAGGATATGGCGCGCAGTATGTCAACCTCAGGATCAATGGAATACTCGCTCGTGCTATGGTCGAAACGGGTACAGAGGTCAATATCATGACCAAGACGACAACGACAAGGTTGGGACTGAGTGACAATCCACGTAATGCCTAATTCAGGACAGTCAATGCACCACCAACTCCTGTTTGTGGAGTCGCACATGGAGTAAGCATCACACTAGGCGAAAGGCAAGGTAAGATCAATTTCATTGTCGCTCCTTCAAACTTGTTTTATATAATTCTAGGTCAAGAGTTCTTCCAGCAATGACATGTGGTGATTGATTTGTACCTCCAACAACTCTTGGTCATGGAGAAAAGAGGGTCATGCACGGTTCACCTGGTTAAGGCACCAAAGACCGAAGGACAACCATGCAGCTCGGGAGAAGCCTTAAGAAGAAGGAGTCCACATTTATAGCCACCATTGCAAGTTTGACAGAAGGCAATGGTGCAAAAGGAACCTTTCCACTATGCATGAGGAAGGAGAACAATATCGTGATGCCAAAGAGCCGCAAAGGTGTGTGTCTCTGAGGAAGGAGGTATATCATAAGTCCGAGCTAGAAGAGATAAAAAAGCGACTGAAAGAATTGCATGAGGGATTTGATCGACTCAATGGACTATTGGTTGGGAGATGAGCAGACAAGACTTGATTGACCACATAGCAGCAATGCGACACGATCGTCGTATCAATAGGTGGGGGAGAGTGTCATGACCCGCCACTTTGTAATAATAAGTGAGAAGGATCTAGAGTTAGGGAGAGGTTAGTGAAAGACTCTAGAATTTTCTAGGTCTTTCCTTAGAATTCTCTAGAATACCTTAGATATTTTCTTGAAAAGCCTTAGAATTTCCTAGAATGTGTAGAGATTCCTAGAGAAGGGACCAGAGTGTAATAAGTAGGAACTTGTAAAGTATTTTTTACTTACACTTAGGCCCTTAAGAGGTAGTATAAATAGAAGGTCCTCTCATTTGTAAATCATCTAAGAAAGTTTTAAGTAATGTTCCAAACAATATAAAGCCTTATTCTAAAATTCTCTAAGTCTTATTTGCATTCTCTTAGCGGTTAGCTTCAAAGGGCTTACTTAAACTTACAAGATCGTGAAAGAACTACGAGTAAGTTGTCAAGTGCCGCATGGAACATTGTCTGTGACACTTATCTAAGCAAATAGGGAACTCTTTATTTCGATGTGGGAAAAGTATATTGAAGTTCTTGTTGTTGCTCACATGGTCTAGATCGATTAACAATATCTCTCACATATGATATGATTTTTAGAATATTGCATGATCTTGTACTGTGTTTTCATAATCAGGTCATCAATTTCCATGTTAAGTTTACTTGGTCATCACATTAACATGTTTTACAGACTTATCACGTTATCATGTCATGTTTATATATTTACATCATATCGGTGCATTTTATGTATTGATCACATATTTTTCTACCTATATTGTTTTATAATACAGCTCCTAATACACATCCTTCACGGCTAGTACAAGATTCTATCAACTTACACTATATTTGGGGAATCCTCATTGTTCCAGGATATATTTAAATCCTAAAATATGAATTTAAATGCTGAATTGACGACATTTACAAAATGAAGAGAAAGTTCAAAATTTTGTTATAGGAAATTATATTGAAATTACAAAATTATTACCGCTAAAATAATAAAATACTTGATCAAATTCAAAATTATTATTATAAGTAGAAAAGTTACAAATATCGAAATACATCAACTTCTCACTAATTTTATTTGTTATTTTAGCAAACACACATATAAATGAATATAAATCAATTATATCAATTTAACAATTTAGACAAACAAATCTGGTATGAATTATTTGTAAATATTTTTTTAGGGAGTGCTTGTTTTGTTTTGTATTGTGTTTTTTTTTTTCGTTTAGTATTGAAACTTGAAAGCTTATATTGGATCTCGGAATTAAATACAGATTGCTCATTGCATGATTCATTTGAAGTGGGCTTGCATCAACTTTTTTTTGATATTCGATCTTGAACCCGATAACTCTTGTTAACGGTAAAAGTAATGTCTTCTATTTTGTATTGTTGGTGTTACTAAATATAGTCACCTACCCTTCCATAAATTGAAATATTGAAATTGGGGATGCAAAAGAATATTCTTCAAGTCTTTGATGAAACCATGTGGTTGGCTTGTTCGTTGTGTCAACCCAAAATAGCGATTTTCGTCACACGCAAACGAAGAAGGAGCAGAATTCACAACACCTCTTATTCCCAAATCTTGGATTATAACTTTGAAATCTGAATCTTGATTTGAAACTCAAGAAATTAGTGAAAATATGATGACAGCTACCATGACAACAACGGTCTCTGTTGGGTCATCTTCATTTTTCACTAATTATCCTCTTATGTCTGCTCTTATTGCCTTTGCTCTTGCCCAATCCATCAAGCTCTTCACTTCATGGTATCCTTTCTCCCCCTCTCTTTTTTTTTTTGAAAGATGGCATTTGTTCAGATTGTTAGCTTATGCTTTAGGACATTATTTGGCGTTTAGATGAGAACAGCTTTGATATTTAACAGCTGCTACAAGACAAGGTTGGATCTTGCATACATAAATGTAACTGACAAAGATATTAATTTATAAATAATAGCATCACACCCACTTATCTCAAAATAGAGCAGTCAGGGACTTGACAGAGGTGATAAGATAGGGCACTAAATGCCCAACACGGAGGCAAAGGAGAGTAGAATGAAGTGACGATTAATGCTACTCATCAAGAGCTTGGTTAAGTGTCTAAGAACATATTTTTTTCTGGTTGGATCTGAATTTTCTCTGTAATTTTGTACTTTCCGTCTCTTCCACGTTGTTGTCTGGGTCATTTGATGAATTAGAGAAAAGTTTGTTTTGTTTAAAACCAATATTACAATTTCAAATACTCAGATTCTCTATCCATGTGTGTATTTGCGCAATACAAGTATTCTGCTAATGGAAAGTTAACTGCCACATGGGGTATTTTTCGTTATTATTGGCATATCAAATGTATATCCAGTCTTAACAGAGGCGCGCTTAAGTCCTAAAGCGAGCTTCAAAATGTGTTGAGTCGCTGTCAAGGTTCTAAGGCATAATTTTCCTTGCTAATGAATCTCTCTGAAGAGACAACACTAAACAACAATTGATATTTCATTTTATCGTAATTATTTTTCAATTTCTTTGTTCATATATTTGTCATTGATGCTAATAAACTATTAGTATTGGACTAAGCATGAATATATATTTGTCGTTTTTTCTTCCTTTATGCCTTTTTACATTAAAGCCAACACTTTATTTGTGTTTAAAGCCCCAACGGACCTTAGAGATTTTTTGTGCTTTTTGCTTTTGGTAACACTGTGTATATCCACATCTCTGCTTACTGTTATCTGTTTACATTACAAATGGATTACATGATTTAGTCAGAGATCAGGCATTTTGAGTGTGACATTGAAAAAGAATTTCCTACAGGTACAAGGAAAGACGATGGGATCTTAAGCAACTTGTTGGATCTGGTGGAATGCCCTCATCCCATTCATCAACAGTAACTGCTCTAGCTGTGGCTGTTGGTTTGCAAGAGGGCTTTGGGGGGGCGCTCTTTGCTTGTGCATTAGTTTTAGCGTGTGTGGTATCTCTCTCTCTCTCAATTATATGTATTTCTATTGAACTTCGACCACTTCGACGTATAAATTTTTTTTATATGAAGTGAGGTATCATTAAAGAGCATCAAGCAGATGCAGAGTTACTGGATAAACAACACTTATTGCACTGTTACAAAGAACACAGTTCTCAGCTTGTACATGCCTAATCACTAGAACTCAAATGTTAATAATTCGTGCCTGTAAGATTTGTACATGCTTAATCTCAGAAAACTCAAATTTTATGTAGTAGTGCCTTCAAGAGTTGATACTTATTTATTGGTTTGGTTATTTATGTACAACATATCACCTTAGGTTGCTAGGGATAGTGTACAGTCTATACAATAGAGGGATATTTCATGTAACTAGTTATATAGGATTATGGCGTGGTCTGGTTTAATTTTTGAACCTGAATATGAGATCATTTCCTGTTTTAGTCCCAATAATTTTATCTAACCTTCTAACTATCAAAGACCTTTTAAAAATTAACTATTGAATCCAACACTTTTTTTTTTTGAAAGTGGTACATTTGTATTGATATTAGTACTTAGGTAGTACTGAATTAATCATATTTACAACAGAGGAAGGTAAAACAAAACAAAAAAACAAAAAAAACTTCCAAAGAGACTGATTCTAACTCTAAATGGACTCTAAAGCATCTAGAATTGACTCAGTCTCATTAGAGTAAACATTTGTACTTCAAAAACAGAAGAACAATATACATTTAAGTTTAATCTCCTACACATTGTTGCTCCTGTTACCAATATAATTGTCCTTCTTCTCTGTCCATATAGTCCATCAAATGCAGGCAGAAATAATCCTCCATCTGTCTCTGTTTCTAGCTCCATCCAACTTCCTCCCAACTGAAAAGAGTATCATCAATCTGACTCGGCATTATCCATGAGATGCCTTTGAGATAGGAAAATTTTTCCCAGTTGGTCAGTGACTTTACAATGTAGGAAGAGATGCATGACTGTCTCAGCATCCTTAAAACATAAAGGACATATGTTGTATAGTGGAATTCCCCTTTTTGTTCGAAACAACCTCAGTAACTAGAAGCCAAGTGAAACATGCCACTTTGTGTGGTACTTTGGCTTTCCAAATGTGCTTCCACGGCCACTTAATAATTTGAGATCCAGTTTGGTTTGTCAGCTTGCATCCCTCTTCCACCTTATATATGTCTTTTCTATGCCGATTCCACCATACGCAATCCTCTTCTCTTTTTAGTCCTTGAAAGTTCTCCAAAAACTTGTAGAATGCAGTCACTATTGAAATTTTCCAATCATTTAATTGTCTTCTAAGGACCAAATCCCAGCCCTGTTATATCCACATTTCAGCAACTGTTTTGTGTTGATGTTGAACCAAAGTAACGATGTTAGGAAATAAGCCTTGTAAACTATTATGACCTATCCACTTGTCTAACCAAAAAAGAGTCTTGTTACCATTGTGTACCTCGATAGTAGATTGACTTTTAAGGAATGGCCAGAAGAGCCTGATGGATCTCCAAGGACTAACACCATAAGGGGCAGTGACTTCTTTACTTGCCCATTTGTGCAGCTCCCCGTACTTGTTTTTGATGACATTGCACCATAAAGCTCGAGCCTCCTGTGGGTATCTCCATATGCATTTCACCTTAAGAGCTTTGCTCTGGTTCTTAAGGCTCTTGATGCCTAATCCACCTTATCATTGGCTTATGATAATATGCTTCTATTTACCAGGTGGTAGCTTTTCTTCTCCTTGTTGCCCTTGCCACAGAAACTCTCCTGATTTTTTCCAGCCTTTGAACCACTGTCCGAGGTATATGGAATAGGGACAAGATGTAAGTTGGTAGAGCATCTAAGACAGTTTATCAGAGTTAGTCTACCTCTTAGTGGAAAATACTGTGATCTCCATCTGGACAATTTCTTCTCACATTTCTCCATAACTGGGTTCGAGATATCTATGGATCTTGACTTTGCTCACAAAGGCATGGCAAGATATATTGATGTCAATGTGCTCAACACTCCTCCTAGAATCTGTTGTAGGTGCTTTATATTGTGGACCAAATTAATTAGGAAAAGGTGACTCTTGTTCCAGTTTGTATGTAGAGCAGACCAGAAATGGCTTAAGAATAAACCAATATCAACCTCAGTATTAACCACTGTTCCTTCTCAACACCACAAAAATGGGTGCCATCAGCATATTGAAGATGAGTGATCTCTCAAGTGCTCTCACTGTCTTTGGCAACTTCAAACCCGTGTATCCTTCCTCCTATCTTAGCAATATTTAACATATTGTTTATACCCTCCATTGCTATGATAAACAGGAAAGGGGATAAAGGATCCCCTTGTCTAATCCCTTTGCGTGCACTAAAAAAGCCTCTTGGAGCCTTATTAATAAGGACGGAGAGTTCACAATAGAGTTGTAGCATTTAATCCAGTTGATCTACTTCTCACCAAAACCCATTTGTCTCGACATACTAAGAATGAACCCCGGTTGACAAAATCATAAGCTTTCTCAATATCAAGTTTGCATAAAATGTCATGTTTGCCTTGCGTCATTATGGAGTCAATTGCTCTTCTCCGCTTTCTAAGGAATGTCAAGCCTGTCTGATTATGTTTATGAATCCTCTGTTCATGAATCGGATGTGCGACCTTAACTATAGCTTCACAGTGACAACCTTAATTGAATGTATAGGATAGTTTGGGAGGTGGTGACCCACAACGACCAATCCTAAAATACCACTCTTTTGACTAAGGATGCCTAACTGCACGGCACATCAGTCAGTTTGATAATGATCGAGTGACATTGCTTCTTTGGCCTGAACCGAGCAATCCCTTAGATATGAGTTCTTGTTTACTATGGATAGGTTTCCTTTGTTTTGCTATAAGATTTTTTCTAAGAATATCGTATATAGTATAAGCTCATGAGCTTAGTCTTACTTCACCGTCGAGAAAGGAATGAAGACTTCCATCTCCTAGTTCAACTCAGACGTAGCTCCCTTCTTTTTTTGGGGTGTGAAGCACTGTCAAACCAAAATACTCAACAAGCATTAGCTCTCCCTGAAAAGGAGGTGATCCAGCCGCACCTTCCGGTACGGCTACCTTCTATCGATGTAGTTCCAAGTCTTCGATGTCCCTCGGAGACTGGCAAGAATTTGTACTATTAGAGTAGTAGAATGGGATTGATGATGAGCATGACACAAACAAAAAAGGAGGAAAATAAATGAAATTGCCGAAAGATTTTCCTTTAAACTGTTTGACAGTTATCCAACTTGAGTTATGAGAGTACGAATGGTTTGTGCAAAATGTCTTAATCAAGTGCCTAGTTGCATGATCAAAGCCGATGATCGTAAGCTATGTCCTTTAGCTATCAACACTACATCCATTATCTGCCCTCCTTTAATGAAAGCCATTTGTTGTTTGTCCATCAATTTTTCCACCACCCTCTTCAATCTCTCTGTCAGGGCCTTCGAGATCAGATTGTAAAAGTTCCCAATCAAATTAATAGATTTGAAGTCTGAGCTCCGTTGCCCCTTCTTGGGGTTCAGGGCAATGTACTTTTCAAACATTTCATTTGAATGAAAATTGAAAAAAGTCTCCATTTTATCTTTCTTTAGAACCTCCAAACATTTTAAATAGAACCCCATTGGATAACCATCAAGGCCAGGGTGTTTGTCGGTGGCACACATCTTCAAATAATCAAAAACCTCTTTGTTCTTCAAACTTTACTTGTAATGCCTCTTTTTTAACATCGGTGATTGTTGGGTGGTTGCTAATTTTTTTAGTGGATTTCATTTCTTCAGTGTACAACTTCTTGTAGAAAAAATGATCTCCTCTTTGATTTTGTTAGGCTCAACTATGGTCTCTTCATGTACCACAATTTGGTAACAAAGGTCATTGGTTTGATGGTAATCATATTCATTCTTTCTCAAAAATGTACTACAATTTGGTCAATGTGATTATATTCCCTGTGAGGATTAGCAGTCTAGCGAAAACATTTGGTGTTTCTGTTCCCCTTCTGGAGCGATAAAGCCCTTGGCTCTGTCTCCAGGTTCTTCTTCATTTTTCAGACATCCTTCATATTCCATGAACAAATTGGCTTCCTTAGCAATTTCCTTCTCTGTTAATGCTCTATTCTCCAAACAAGAGTCAATTTTTTCTATTGAAGCTTCTGATTCCCTTGCTCATTCCTGCTCCACTCTTTTAGCTTCCTTAGAGAGCTTTTAAATTACAGACTAGAATGCAATCAAGTTTCCCAGAAAAATGCAAAATCACTCCACCAATTAATAACTCTATCAACAAAACCTTTTGCATTTAACCACTAATTTTCAAATGTCCACAGAAGAGAGCAATTGGAACATGTTCTTAAATCACTCTCTATATAGTAGATATCTTCATGTTGCTGGACTAGTTATTCCATTCTGTGGAAACAATATCCGGTTTATTCTAGCCGCAATGTTATGATTGCCTCCTTTAAGAAAAGTGTAAGTAGCACCATCTTACAATAAAGCAATGGGCTTCTATCCTCTATACACCCTCCATATAGTCCCATAACTGAAGTTCTTCTAACGCAGCCCCTTTTCTCGGAGTGGAATCTACACACATTAAAGTCACCAAAAATAATCCAATATCCCTCCATGAGACCTTTTACATTAGCTAATTCCTCACATACCAATCTTCTTTCCAGTTTGCTTTTATAGGAGCATAAACACCAGTCAAGACATTCAAAATCACATAGTTGGGCCTTGAAATTACAAGATAATGTGTATGCTCCAATCTGTAAGATCTCCCCTTTCCATACTTAGAGTCCCAACATAAAATAATTCCACCTTTGGTTCAACTAGCTTGAAGACGTGCCAGTCTTTTTGTTCCCATGTTTTTTTTAGGAAACCATTGTTACACTTAGAGTTGGTCAAGATGTATCTTTTTTCAAAAAGTTTACAAATTTTTTTTAAAAAGTAGGCTTTTATCTTATTTTCTTACACATCTTATATTGTTGGGAAGGTGGGATAAATATAATCCTTTGATTGTTTGATAGCAAGGATAACCACAAGAAGTTTTATCAAACACTAGATCCCATTGGTTCCTGAAAGTAAGAAAAGATCCTTCTTATGTATTGTCCGGTATTTGGGCAAAGTTGTCCTCTTTCGTGATTACCTAATACTGTTCCCCAATAAAGTAACTGAGCATTTTGTCTTCTGTTGTATTCTGGTAACCAAGAAATCTCTAATGTCATAAATTCTTGTGGCAGGTCATGTATGATGCCACGGGTGTAAGATTACATGCTGGACGTCAGGCAGAGGTGTGATTGTTGTGTTGATGGATATCTGATTTGATATTGAAGCATGTCTATCAACTTACATGCATGCTGCCTTGCTTAGATTTGTTTACAGGAATTTTCAAGCAGGGACATTATATCCTTTCCAGTACTTTAGAGTAGCAGTATAATCAATTGCACAGAAATTTCAGTAAACATATACCAACATTCAGCTCTAACTCTCTGTTTTTTCTCTTTTTCAGGTCCTGAATCAAATTTTATACGAACTTCCTTCTGAACATCCTCTTGCAGATAGTAGGCCATTACGAGAACTCCTTGGTCACACTCCTCCTCAGGTTTCTTTATTTGACTCTACTTAAAAATACTTGTAGATCGGCTTTTATCCTAATCCAGCGTAAAAGGCTTTCTGAAATTTAACTCCCTCCCCCACCCCATTTTGCCATGTTGATCAAGTTCTTTTCTGTCTTGTTTCTTTGCCTTATTTCTTTCTGCATTCTAAATATAATTAATTTAATTACTTGATCATTTTCTTTTATGAGGGGTGGAGGGGCAGGGAGTACATGAATGATAATGGTGTGTGTGCATGTGTGTGTATATGCAGTCTGTCCTTGTGAAAAAATCTTCAGTCCTTCACAGGAAATTGACTATGGATACGACTTAATCTTTCCAACAGTAGATCATCATTTACTTTTGACCTTTCTCTTCTTACCCTAAAAATAAGTTATAGTATGAAATAACCAGTGGCAAAGTCACAATTTTTGTTAAGGGTGTCCAAGATTTAATGAAAATCATTTGTGATAGAAATATTTTGTACAAATTTCTATATATTTTTTCAAAGAAGGGTGTCCGATTGGCCACCCTGAGCTATATGTTGCTACGCCTCTGGAAATAACCTTACAAAAATGTCTTGTGGAATGATGCTAATGTTAAAAGTGATGTCTTGTGGAATAATGGTGATGGGAAAAATTGTGGTCAACAACCTAATGTTACGTATCCTGCATAAGATGCAATTCCAAGAGCGAACATATTAGTGGACATGTATGCTTAATGTTTCCGACATATCGCAAAGAGTGAATATGGAAGGCTTTCAAGTGCAGGTTGTAGCTGGTGGATTATTGGGATTGACAACTGCAACGGCTATCCATTTTATCAGAGGCTCAGGACATGAAGCATGACATTAAAGAAACGGTTGCTTACTATGTAACAGCTTGTGAAATATGATATCAGGCCAAAAGTTACAGATATCTCATTTCACCTCTGCATTGTATTGACTGCAGAGATGTACTAGTATTTTAGATACCTCACTGCAGAGTTTATACATAATGTAGATAAACAATGAACTGCAACCTGTAAGTTAAGCTGCACACATCTCAGAATATTAGTTACAGTGTGTTTTATGTTTATCTGTATTACCTCAATTACTCACAACTTCTTTAGTTGTCCAATTAATCTGGTGAACTACGTTCTTCCAGTTCCTTCCTTTATACTGAATAGACGAATAATGCACAGAGCCAATATTTATCTATATATTTGTGTGAAAAATAAAAATGTTATTTAAAAGTAGTGGTAACTTGAGCATATTGTGCAAATCGTTCGTTTATTTCTATTGATACATTAATACGTGAAACATGCTTAAATTATATAAAAATAACACTACACACACCTTTAAGATGTTAAATATCAAGTTATAAACAAACTTTTCAATATTAAACTACTTATAGCATATTATTATCAAGTTATAGCATATTAAGAAATATTATATTATTATCATTAATTTTTTAAAATAATAATTAACTTATTTTAATAATTCAATTACCATATTTAAACCAATGTAGTTAATTACACTTATTATTTTAAGTTACCTTTTTTAAACAAAACTCTTAATTAAAGTTATTTAAATTAAATATTATTTAGTTACCTTTTTTAAGATAACTACAAAATTATAGGATTTTTATCAAAATTTAAAAAATTACAGTTTTAAAACTGTAAAACAATATCTAAAAAAAATAATTTATATTACCCAAAA